GAGCTAATTTGATCGCTCTATCAAAAGCTGCATTAAAAGGCGTCCGCGGATGGTCGCGGCCGCGGCCGAATCGCAACGAGAGCCCTGGAGCCCTCTCCTTCATTTGAATAGCCCGCAGTTAAAAGACAATTAAAAATAAACTCTTTTGCTTTCTTCAAAAAAAACTCCCTTTGTTTCCTGGCCCGGCTTTTCGCCTTCTAGCTGGCTCTTCCCTCCCCATCCCCTCCCTTCTCACACGGCAGGTAGTCCTCGGCTTACGACGATGCGCTTAGGGACCGGTTCAAGGTTACGACGGCCCTGAAGAAAGCGACTTAGGGCCATTTTGTCACGCTTAATGATCGTCGCAGCATTCCTCCACGGTCCCGTGATCCAAATTCGGACACTTGGCAACTGACTCGCACTTACGACGGGTGCAGAGTGCCGGGGTCGTGCCATCCTCTTTTTGTGACCTTCAGACAAGCCAAGTCAAGGGTGGAGGCCAGTTTCACTTAAAACCGGGGTTACTCGTTTAAAAAAAACGTGGCGATTCCCTTAACAAAGGTGTCAAGAAAAGTCGTAAAACGGGGCGAAGCTCACTTCACAAATGTCTCACTTAGCAACGTAAATGTTGGTCTCTCGATTGTGGTTGTAAGTCCTTACGCCATTCCGGATAAATGGCTGTCCAGTCTCTTCTTAAAGAACTCCAGTTATGGAGGACCCACAAATTCTGGAGGCAGGTAGTTCCACTGGTTAATTGTCCTCACTGTCAGGAAGTTTCTCCTTAATTCCAGGTTGCTTCTCTCCTTGTTTAGTTTCCATCCGTTGCTTCTTCTCCTGCCTTCTGGCACTTTGGAGAATAGCTTGACTCCCTCTTCTTTGGGGCAGCCCCTCAGATATTGGAACACTGCTATCATATCCCCCCTGGTTCATCTCTTCTGAACTTTTAGAGAATACAGAATAACAGAGTTGGAAGTGACCTTGGAGGTCATCTAGTCCAACCCCCTGCTCAAGCAGGAGACCCTATAAGCATTTCAGATAAGTGGCTGTCCAGTCTCTTCTTAAAAGCTTCCAGTGTTGGAGCATTCACCGCTTCTGGAGGCAGGTGGTTCCACTGGTTAATTGTTCTCACTGTCAGGAAGTTTCTCCTTAGTTCCAGGTTGCTTCTCTCCTTGGTTAGTTTCCATCTGTTGCTTCTTGTTCTGCCTTCAAGCGCTTTGGAGAATAGCTTGACTCCCTCTTCTTTGGGGCAGCCCCTGAGATACTGGAAGGCTGCTATCCTGTCCCCCCTCGTCCTTCTCTTCATTAAACTAGACAGACCCAATTCCAGCAACCTGCCTCCCAGAAGCTGTGACTGCTCCAACACTGGAAGTTTTTAAGAAGAGACTGGACAGCCATTTGTCTGAAACGCTATAGAGCCTTCTGCTTGAGCAGGGGGTTGCACTAGAAGATCTTCAAGGTCCCTTCCAGCTCTGTTATTCTGTAAGGGTCTCCTGCTTGAGCAGGGGGTGGAATAGAAGACCTCCACGGTCCCTTCCAGTTCTGTTATTCTGCAAGGGTCTCCTGCTTGAGCAGGGGGTTGGACTAGAAGACCTCCACGGTCCCTTCCAGCTCTGTTATTCTGCAAGGGTCTCCTGCTTGAGCAGGGGGTGGAATAGAAGACCTCCACGGTCCCTTCC